TTACAAGACACATATCTATAGAGAACATATAAATCTTCTTGATGAAGATTTATGTAGACAAGAAGCACAAGTTGATACCGACACACACACGAACGAAATATCTCCATCAACATATTATGATGCACAATTAGACTTTGACATTCAAGCGAACGATATAGAAGATAACCGAAGCGAGGATGAAGGAGAAAACAATGATGAAACTGGTTTCTGTTGGTTATCACTTAAGGAAGCAAAAACTCGATTGTTAGAGAAAACAATCAATTTAGATTCATTTGAAAAGTTTTATTTAGAATTGCTGTTAAATATGAGAGAAGGTTATTCTCTACAACAAAATATAATCCAAGCAATCACATTCGGATTTAAATCGTTGATTGAGCTAATCCATGAATTATTAAAAATGCAAGTTCAAAGTTCCTTCATTCGATGTCAAAGAACAACTGCTTCTTCATCAACAGACAATTTTATTTTACTGACTGATGTTCACAAATTAATTTCGAATATTATATTATCTATACATCAATGACGTCTGATTTCCTCTCATTCCTCAGAACAATTTTGCGCTATGTGCTTTTGTTTGCAAATAGTCGTCCATTTTACGTCATGGTTATTGTTTTTCTCGCATTTTGTTGATTCTAACTTTTCCTCGTAGATAAATGCCCTTTTTGATGATTTCATGGAAAGAATGACAGATGTTACAAAAAATGAATACAACTTTTTGAGGCTACGCAAAAAATATTTCTTTTATGAACCAGCAAAAGAAATAAAGTTAGGCAATCCGAATCAAGTAGCATATAATATACCAATACAATCTAGTATTAGACAAATGTTGAGTAAGCCTGATGTATTAAATATGTTAATCACAAATTATAATGAAACAATTAATTGTAATGCTCTTGATCTTGATCTTATGTACGATTATCGTCATGGGTCACAAGCAAAACAACATTCAATTTTAAAAAATAAACCTGATTCGTTGTTGTTTCAATTATACATTGATGAAATTGGAGTAACAAATCCCATACGTGCAAAAAAGGATACTTAAAAAATTACAATAATTTATTTTCAATTAGAAGACTTAGAGTCAATGTGCCTAAAGCGAACGGACATTTCATAGGTCTTCATTGTGACTGTAATATCTCTATCATTTTTCGTCATAAAATAATTATTTTTATATCACGGGAAAGAAAACAAAATTCTGCATCTACTCATATAAAAAAAAAATTTGTAGCTATAAGAATTGTTGAGTAATCAGCGGTAGAAAATTAAAA